CACGCACACCCATCAGCTAATGAACTGCTCATCCACGTTAATGCCCCCACCGTGGACTCTCAATGCACCAAGTACATCTCTTTCACAGCACTTGTTACAGATGTAGTTGTACAATTATTTCTGTGATCATTTGATTAGCATCTGTCTCTCCCACCAGACGATGCAGGGATCATGTTCTACTGTATTTATTCCCCGTTGTACTCTGAGTCCCTATTGCAATGCTTAGCACTATAAATTGTTACAGGAATTTGGTGTTATAGTTTTATAGCTGCTTTATTTTCTTTTAAATTTCAAAGACACATCTTTAATAAGGCAGATTAAAGGAAGGTTGTGTGAATTATACATCTATACGCACCCATTTTGCTTATAAGCAAGAAAAATGCCATGAACATATCCATCACCATAATTACTAAATCAATGGTAGGTAAAGTGACGGTATCAATGAAGTTTTCCATAAACTTATTCATATAGAGAACAAGTTAATACATGTCAATATATACTTTAATATTTTAATAACCAATAACATAATAAGGTTTATTTTTCAACTACATTTACTCTCTTACTTTACAATCATCACTTGTGGAACAGTGGATTGGAAAGGCAAGTCAATTAAAAAAAGTCCTTCATTATAGAAATAATACAATAAATATATATTGGAGGCCTATTATGAGCCAGACCCCATTCTAGGTGCTGGGATTATTAGACTGAAGACGTGAAATAAAATGTGTACCCTCATGGAGCTAACATCTGAGAGGGATGGACAGACAGAAAAACAAGATAAACAAAATATATAGAAAACTGAATAACAGTGAGTGCTACAGGAGAATAAATAAATAAAACACGAAAGGAGCAACTAACATCTGAGAGGGATGGACAGACAGAAAAACAAGATAAACAAAATACATAGAAAACTGAATAACAGTGAGTGCTACAGGAGAATAAATAAATAAAACACGAAAGGAGCACATTACTTGGGAGGCCAGGAGTGTCTGACCATTTAGACATGGGTATAAAGGGAGACCTCCATGAGAAGGTGACCTTTCCATAAAGACCTTAAGAAAGCAAGCCACATTCATTATTTTTTATTTATTCAATTATCTACAACTATTTGTAAACTGAGTTTTTAAAATATCTTGAAATGGCTGTTTTTACCACCCACTTGCTTATAATGATCACTTATGAATAAACAGATTTATTCACACATTTTTGTGGGCCTCATGGAACAACAGGTGCTCCCAAGAGATTATGTTTCTCCCTAAGTATTCCTTTACCTGAATGTCATAATCCAAAGAAAAAGAGCAAACACAAAGTTACACCTAGATAAGGAAAATAAGTTCTCATGGTACACAGTAGTGCTAAGCATCTATAGTTAATAGTAATGTACTGTATGTTGTTAAATGGCTAGAAGAGAGGAGATCAAATGTTAATGTTCTCATCACGAAAAAATGATTAAGTTTTACCCTGATTTGATTATCATACACTGTATACATGTATTGATATGTAACTCTGTACCCCATAAATACATGCAATCAATAAATTTCAATTAAAAAATTACAAATCATTTTTAAAAAAGAAAAAAGATTCAGACCTCCTGTCCTTAGCTTTCAGGATGGGCCACTCCAGAGCCTACCCTGGAAGCAAGTGCAGTCTTGGATCCAGCAAAACAATGGAAAGGGGCTTCTGTGCCACCCCCTTGAGCTATTTCTAGTAACCAACGCAGGATTTTGGAGTTCAGGAATGAAAATCTTGGGCTAGAATTTGATGCTAGGCTCTTAGAGTATTATCGCTTGGGGCTAGTGGTTCTTTACAGGCCCACTTAATTTATTGTGTTTCATATTCGGACCAGGAGTTCATTCACTCATTCATTACTTATATGTTTATTGGCATCTCTTTATGCAAGAGAGTATGCTGGGCTTTGCATATAAAAAAATGAACTCAGAGATCTCATAGTTCACCAACTGGCATATAAACAGACAAGTACCATGTAATACCATGTAGTGTAATAAATGTTGTGAGAAGGATCTGCTCAAAAGGACATGATATTGAAAGGAGTGACTAATTCTCTTCACCAGGGAAATGAAATTTGACCTAAAGTTTGAAGATGAGCAGGTGTCCATGTGCTAACCAGGGGAAACAACAAGGGAGAAAGGGCATTCGAGGCAGAAAGAACAGCAGCAGGCACTGTAAGTGATGTGTGCTCAGTTCAACACAATAAATATTTCATGATCTCCTGCTCAGAACAGAAGACATGGGATGGACAGGATCTTACCGTGTGCTGGGGGTGGGAGCAGAAAACAAGGGTTAGTCAAGCAGAGCTGCACTTTCACATCCACAGATACAGCCCCCTTTTTTTTTTTTTATGGTTGAGCAGTATTCCGTTGTGTATATATAGCACATTTTCCTTATCCAGTCATCCATTGTTGAACACTTAAGGCATATATGAGGATACTTCAAAAAGTTCATGAAAAGATTTGTATTATGTTTTAATTCTATTTTTTGACAAACATTTTGAAGGACCCTCACAGTACATTCTCAATAAATATTTGTTAAATGAATGAATAAATGTTTGAAACTTCACCCATTTTTAAGGAACCCTCTTTCAGGAACTTGTCCTCTATACTCCTTAGTGAACGTGGCCCTTTCTTTCTTCAGGGCTCCATTGCATACTCTCAGCTCCTATCACAGGAATGTCCCACATGCTGCCTCAATTCAGTTATTTTCTAAAGAGCCACAAGGATCAGGTAAGAGGTGATTAGAATACATTTTGCAGGAAGTGGAGCTGGTATGGCTATTTTTGGAGTGAGTAGAATTTGGTTTAATCCTTTGCTCATCTACGCAATCAGTTTTCTAAAATCATGTTTTTGTTTTATCCTGCAAATACATGTTTTGTAGAACTGTAGTATGATAGTGTGCCTAGTAGTGCTTGACACAGAGTTGGCCAGCAGTTGTCAATAAAAACTCTACTTGCCTGAGTCTATGTCAGTAGGTCTGGGGTGGGGCCAGGACAGCTGCACTTTATGACTCCAGGCCATTCTGATGGTCAGATTACAGCCTCACAAATATGTCCATGGACTTGAATTTCAGGGAGGAACAGCTTCTTCACCAAGTCCTGGGAATGAAAGCCTTTCTCTGTCTCTCTTCAGTTTCCACCTCCTCACTACACGTAGGTTGTTTTATGTGCTGCACCAACAACTTTTTATTTTCTGTGTTATTCTCATCCTAACATAAGCCCTTCCCTCTTTCTGTCACTCCAGTTCTTAGACATCACCCCTAACCCTACACTGCTAAAAGCATAATTCGCAATGAAACACACTTACAAACGGACCGTGGGGTCCCAGGTGCGCATGAACCTTGTACTCCAGCTCTATTGCCTCCCTCACACGGGCATCCTAATTAGACGTCCCAGCCACAGCCACCAGCTGAGCACTAGTGGCCCTCCAATACGCGACTAGCTCCTACTCCCATCCAGCAGCAATTGTGTGAACAATCCACAAGTACCTGGAGAGTTGACAAATAGCACATTAATGAACATGAAATGGATATGATGTAGGGGCATTTGCAAAAAGCATGCCTTTCAATCCCACAACGCAAGAGCTTTCGCTTCATCATGTGACACTCAGAGGGCACTTCATTAATAACGCCCTTTGCATGAGAGGCAGGATTACATAGAGGAGAGAGGAAAGAGGAGGGAATGAATGCCAGGCCCCTCACATATTCTATTTCATTGAATTCTTACAGCAACCCTGTGAAGTAGAGGATGTTATTGGTATTTGCCAAACTGGAGAGATGATGTAGTCACCTAATGCCATAGTTCCATTATGTGATGGAAGCAGGATCCAAACTCCTTCATCAAGCTCTAACTTTAGGGTTTCTCCCATCTCACCAAGAATCCAGTCGAGAAATAATGAAGGAAAAGACTGCATCCTGACATTGCCACCTAACTGTTCAGGTTGTGCAAGCAATTTAATGTCTCTTAAACTCATCTGTCCTTTAAATCAAAACAATTACTTCTGTGTGCTTATTCTCAGGGTTTTGTGAGAAATACACAAAAGAGTGGATGATGACAATGCTTAAGATCAAAAAATAACTACAGAGGTATGAGAAACCTAAATTCAGTTTGACACTACAGTCAACCATGTGTCAGAAGGCCAACTCTTGCCAGTTTCCATAATACAAGGACGTTTTAGGATTTAGTTTATGTTGCTAGTTAACCAGTTACTTGTTTTTATCTACTGGTGTTGATCACAATGGAAAGACTATTATTCTGTCAAGTGTTTGGTCCCCACTTTCAGGCTGCATGTGTCTCAGTTCCTTTCATCTTCGAAAAAGAGTTAGTGCTTCATCAGCCCAGCTCCTCTCCTGTGTTCCCTGTTTCTATACATGTAGCACACTGTCCCCATCAACCAGACTCTATCCCTGATTTGAATCATGACATCGACCATTGTACTCTCTCATCGTGGCCTGTTTTTGCATGGCACTTATTGCATTTTGTCAATGTGTGTGGGTGTGTTTTGGTGTGTAATATTTAATATCTGTTTCCCTTATTAGAATGTAAGCTCCACAATAGTAAGAGCCGTTCCCTGTTTCTATACATGTAGCACACTGTCCCCATCAACCAGACTCTATCCCTGATTTGAATCATGTCATCGACCATTGTACTCTCTCATCGTGGCCTGTTTTTGCATGGCACTTATTGCATTTTGTCAATGTGTGTGGGTGTGTTTGGGTGTGTAATATTTAATATCTGTTTCCCTTATTAGAATGTAAGCTCCACAATAGTAAGAGCCCATCCATTCAATCCACCACAGTGTACACACCACCCAGCACAGTGCCTGACAAATCATAAGTACTCAGTAGATACTTGTCATGCTCATAGAATGGTATGAAATTAGCAGTTACTCAAAGATTTCATCCAAGAGCCCCACAACTTCTACACCCTCCATCCCAACTGAGACCTGCTGGTGAGACTAACGAGGCTGTCCTTCATTTCTTGGTTCCAGGAGCGGCTAGTGCTGTCTGTGCTCCCACGGTTTGTTGTCCTGGAAATGATCAATGACATGACCAATGTGGAAGATGAGCACCTGCAGCACCAGTTCCATCGGATCTACATCCATCGCTATGAGAATGTCAGGTGAGAAATGCAACTCCCCCCTCGATTCTCCATGTGACCTGTGTGCACCTGGCTGCTCTTGTTGCACTGCTGTGATTTCTGTCTACCTGAATGTCAGTGCCTTTCCTCATTCAGTTGATTGATTCAGTAACTACTGACTATTCATTAGAGAGCTCTACATCTCCAAACTGAAGCTGAAGAAGAATGTCAGAGAATTCAATTGTAGTTGCTAGTTGACTTACTGCCTGGCTCCCCTACAGTAGGCTTGCTTGCCTTCACATTCTGAGTGGGAAAGGCAAAAGCCATTTAAACTATGGTTGGAAAAATAATCTTAAAATGCAATCTGGAGGTTTCAGGTACAATCACATAGGTTCTTCCCTACACTCCTCGTAATGTTTTAAAACAAAACAGCGTATTTTCCTTACAACTTGCAACTATATTGTTAGCCAACCATTCATCCATCCATCTGTTCACCCACCCATCCATCCACCCATCAACTCATCTTTCAATCCATCCACTCACCACCCATCCATTCATGCATCCACCCACCCATCCATTCAACCATCCACCCACCCATCCATCCCCCCATCCATCCATCCACCCATCCACCCACCCACCCATCCATCCAACCATCCACCCACCCAACCATCCACCCACCTATCCATCCAACCATCCACTCACCCATCCATCCATCCACTCATCCATCAATCCATCCACTCACCCACACATCCATCTGTCCACACATCATCATATCCATCAGTCCATCTATCCATCAGCTACCTCTCTGTGCCCAGCACTGCACTGGTCAACATGGCATATATTGAAAGTCAAAGGGTGGACTCCATAGTGAGGCAGACCAATTTCAGAATCCCAATTCTGCCTCTTCCTTGTGTGTGAACTTGGGCAAGTTACTTACCTGAATCTCAGGATCCTTCTCTACAAAATGGGCATTTTAATAGCCACCTTGCAGAGTTTTTATGTAGATTATGTGAGTCAAGATATATACAAAACACAGGACAGGCAGGGTTAAGTATCTAGTAGAGCACTGGACATATTATAGGTCATTTCAGATATGTTTTCTAGTTGCAAGGAAAAGAATACAACCCTGGCTGATATTTTTTAAAATGTATTTCAAAGCTATGTGGCAGCTCACAGAATAATCTGCGAAAGGATGGAAAAGACGGTGGGGAAATGAGCCAAAATGAAACAAGGCCACTGAGCCAGATGCGTAGCAAAAATCAGCCCAGAGCACTAGTCCAGTTAGGACAGCACTGCCACTGTCCCTGAACAGTCCATTGCTTATGTCCCCTGACAAGACTTGCCACCACAGCAGTTCCACTTGCAGCCCCCAGAAACTGGAGGTTTCTGCCTTTGCCCTACCCCCAACCCCCGCTCCCTCTGCTTCTTTGCATCTAAAGTTAAAGCCTAGAGAAGATGTGATTGGTTGGCTGAGCCCAGTCATTTTCTAGAAGTGCCTGGAAAGCAAGTATCTGGCATTTCCAGCTTAGACAGTAGAATTGTATTTCCGTCCATCCCACCAACATCATAAGGTGAAAATTTCCCAAACATAGGCTAAAAGTCCGTAAGTTAAACAGCTCTAAAAATGGCAAATGTACATTCTTAGTTCTTTCTAACTTTGGTAGGAGGGAAGAACAATTTTTCTCTCTTATCAGCATCTATCTTTAGGTGTCCTACTCCTGACATGCAGGGACACACATTTTAAAGCAGTGTCCAGTAGTGATCATGTTTCTCAAACAACCTGTTAGCAGGAATAGCAATGTAGGTCATTCTCAGGGTCTTGTGCAAGAATTCAGCTAAACTGATTTAGTTGCTTGAGTTTGCAAAGCAGCCCTTTGTCAAACAGCAACTCCAATAAGAGATGCACCCCAGATCTAGGAACTGGTCCCACAGATCATAGGAGCTTATCAGTACCGATTCTAGAACAATAGATACCGATTAATTGTAGTACAGTGTGGGGTTCTATTATTAAGTGGGCAAAGAATGCCAAGAGATCATAAAAAGAGGAAAATCTGGGGCAGGAAGGTAGGGTGTGGGGATATGGAGATGGGTAAAGAAACCTTCCTGGAAGAGATGAGCTTATTTGCCTTATCTGAGACTGAGCCAGCCAAGTGCAAAAAACAAAGACATAAATTCTGGGCAAAGTGATAGCATAAGTGAAGGCAGAATGGTGGCACATAAAGAGAATGATAGTTGGGCCGGCCTGGTGGCGCACTGCTACAGTGCGCCGCTTGGGAGCGCGGAGGCGCTCCCACCGAGGGTTTGGATCCCACGTACAGACTGGCCGCTCACTGGCTGAGTGAGGTGCGGACGCAACACCAAGGGTTGCGATCCCGTTGCCAGTCACAAAAAAAGACAAAAAGGAAGAAAAAAAAAAAAGAGAGAATGATAGTTGATTTTCCATATTCCTTTCCTGGTGGCAAAGTGGCTTGACAATAAAGGACAAAAAAAGACAAAAAGGAAGAGAAAAAAAAAAAAGAGAATGATAGTTGATTTTCCATATTCCTTTCCTGGTGGCAAAGTGGCTTGACAATAAAGGCAGGTTCAGAGAGAGCAGGAACTGAATGAATATTTTGAAAGAAAGTAAATCTATATTTATTTTATATATATATATAATGTAAATATATTAATAAAATAATATATATTCCTTTCCTGGTGGTAAAGTGGTTTGACGATAAAGGGAGGTCCAGAGAGAGCAGAAACAATGAATATTTTGAAAGAAAATCTGTATTTGTTTATTACATATAAATAGATAGACAATGTAAATACATAAATAAAATAATATATATGACATATTATGAAAGTGCCTATCATGGAAAAAGAGGGGGAAAAAAATAACTACCTTTAAAAAAAAAAAAAAGGAAAAAATAAACAAGCTTGCACACTCACACCAGCATACTCCGGAGCCCATGTTCAATAAACAACATGTTTGGCTTTCTTTTTGCACTAATCATTTTTCAGTGCTCCCTTTAGTCGTGAGCAGCTGAAGTTACTTCTGCCCCCCTCCAACCCCACCCATTTACTTTAAATCATCGAACTGAGTACTTATACTGGAGACCCTTTTCCAGAAGTTCACACCACACTAAATTAAATTTTTGTTGCCTGCCGTACATTTCTCAGCATCTTTGGCAATGAGAGCGGTTTCTAGGGGGAGAAGAATTGACACAGAAACCCGCCAGCACCCTGAGATTTTCCCCCTGGCTAGTCCCAGAGCAGCAGTGGCGAGATGCCCCGGGCCCTGGCGGCAGTGGGGAGATGGACTCGACAAGGGGCCACGGTCCCCTCCTGCTTGCTGCAAAGCTGCTGGGTGCTGAGATAAGCCCAGGGACCATGAAAGCAGAGGAGGGTGGTTCTTAGCCTGTGTCTGAGAACAAAGCCAGACTGGCTGCTTTGCCCCCTTTCCCAGGCCCCAGATCAAACCACTGAGGTGCTGGGAGCATTTTTGAAATGACTTCCAATCCTGTCATCTTCATGGTCTCTTCACGGCAACCCTCCTGGTTCATCTGGTTCATTCTTTTCATTCTTTCTTCTTTTTTTTTGATCGCCCTTCCCTAAAACCTGCCTGCTGTACATTTCTAAGTCTTAATTATATTTCATACAATTCATTGCCTCTTATCAGTAAAGGGCATGATAAAAGGCACCGTGCCTGGGCGGACTTGTGTGCCCCAGTGGACTGGGAGCCAACAGAGCAGGATTCTCATCCCAGACCCTCTCCAGGAGCCACATCTCTGTCCACACTTCAGCTGCATTGTTTCATTTTTGTGTGCCTCAGTTTCCCCACCCCAAAACTGAGCTGTTTGAAATGGACAAAACATTTGGACTCTCACATTGATATCAGCTATAAATCTATGACACTTCACCAGATTCCCTTGGAGGATCCACCTGGCCACTGAGCTTTTCACTGGACGCCATTTGGGCTTCCAACCCCACCTGCCCAATTCTACTTCTCTTTCTTGTTTTTTCCCATATACTTAAGACACTTTTTTGTATTAGGTAGGGTAATGCTATCTGCTCTGTCAAATAACCTCCCAATTGCAATGGTTTTAACTGCATAAGATTTATTCACACATGTATCCACTGCTGATTTTCCTGGTCAATGGGTGACTCAGGGACAAAGACCCCTGAGTTTTGTAACTTTCATCCCTTGGGCCTCAAAGTTCTCGGCATTCAGTTATCAGAAGAACTCACACCGCTTCTTCACCACCTCCACCAGAAGTGACAAGTATCCCTTCTGCTCAGATTCCATTAGTGAGATGTGATCACAAGGCTCCTCACAGACACAGAAAGGGCTGGGAACAGTGTCGCTGGCTCGGAGGCCTTTCCTAGTGACAGGTGGATTTACTGTGGAAAGGGAGTAAGGATTTGGTGGACAGTCACCTTTCTCTGCCATAGTTTCTTTTCCCTTTTCCTCTTGCCCTGCGACTTCATGCCATGTGCATTTGCACAGTTTCTGGCATATATTTTGGGGGTCTGCTCAGGAGACAAGTTTGTCTTTATCTCTCCTTGTGTCATAGTAGACAGTTCAGTGAGCCTTTGTCAAGGATCAGAAAAATCCTGAGTTTTAGAGTCTTGCTCAGTCTGTCCACGTTTTTTACTGGTTGTTTATTTCCAACCATCCCTGTCACAAGTGTGTGATCACTATATCTGCCCTGTGGACTAGGGCATCATTTACACGCAAAATGCAACTGAATGGGCTTAGAGAACTTTTCAACTTTCTAGATCCATCTGTATGGCAATCTATTAAACACTCCCAGATTCCCAAAGATTTCCAAAAAGGAGTCAGATAACCTCCACTTATTGAGGACTGCGCTTTGATTTACAAGTTATCTCCTTACTACTGTAGCCTTACAGAGTAATTTAATGGTCTCTGCTTTATTATCAAGAAAATAGAAGCTCAAGGAGGTTAAGTAACTTTCTTAAGAGCACACAGTTAGGAAAAGGATTCTACACAGGGCCAGTGTTTTTAACAGTTCTACTAAACTCTGCTAAAGCTTCCTTGAGGA